GAACGACGCCTACTTGCCGAGTCTAATGCAGAGCGATATGGATTTCGTAACTGCATTTTGTCTACTGATGGCACTCATGTTGTTTTATACCGAAAACCTGCTTTGCATGGAGAGGTATATTACAGTCGAAAAAAGGAATATTCTATGAATGTTCTTTTGACTTTCGATAACTGCCGACAAATTCGGCATGTGCTTGCGGGCTGGCCTGGAAGCGTCCACGATTCAACTGTTTGGGCTTCTGCTGCACCCGCACTGCGACCTCAGTCCTACTTCGACCCCGACCAGTACCAAGCGGGCGACTCTGGCTTTCCCCTCGGCCGCCACATGCTCACCCCGTACCGCTTGCCCGCCGCGCGTGAAGTTGGAAACGACATCTTCAACACTGCTCATGCAAGCCTTCGCGTCGTTTGCGAGCATGGGAACGGTATCTTGAAAGGACGTTGGTCCAGCCTGGCCCTTCTACCTGTCGACATCCGCAACGAGCTGGACGTTCAGTTCGTGTGCAACTGGATTTTGGCATGCTGCGTCCTGCACAATATTGTCAACCGCCTCCGAAATGGTGAGGACAGTGTGCCATTGTACTGTGAAACTCCTCGCGCCAGTCATGTGAGCGAAGCCATTCCACAAGACAATTGTTTGATCATGCGCGAAAACATAAAATCCGAGCTGCTTGGATATTTAGGATTCACATAAAGTAACAAGTCAATGTGTTCTTCATGATTACAGTCACCAGGTTCGTCAGCTACATTAAATCGAAATTTGATTATGTATTTCACTGCGAAAACATTTCGCGTATTTTACCGTAGTCATTGCTCGTTTCTAACACATAGGATGGTCGAAAGTTCTGGCGCTCGCCAAAAAGCGCATTCATGTCGTCGTAGTACGGACAAATGCTCTCCAACTTGCTTTCAATCGTAAAGATTTCTACGAAATTAGTCAAATTCATCCTCAATATATGTCCTACTTCGTTTGTAGTCCTTCTGCGTCAGACCTCGACCGCTTTTATTCGGCCCGCACCAACGAAGGGCCTTCTTGTACGATGAGACGTACGCATCGTATCTATATGTGTGTGAAAACGATGACATTGATGTATTCGAGTACCTGGACTTTGCATCCTGCGTTGTCCACGTTCGCGTGCTGTCGCGAACGATCATGTTCACGTATTCGGCCATCAGGGCATGGCCGTGGGCTTTCGTGAGCCTCTGCCCGCCTTTCACCGACTTACCTTTCGTCGCCTGGCCAGTCATCAAGGCAAAGTTGTCAGGAATGCGCAGGAACTCAAGCATGGCGAGGCGCTCGGCGCGCGACGTGCCTCGTTTCGCACGGTCGTTGAACTCGAGCTCCATCGTTCCTGCACACGAGTGAGCGATTTGTGTGCCAGTAATTTCGAGTGATTTGATTGGATGTTCAGTTGTCCAAGTTCAACTTGCTTTTGCTTTTCGCAAAAACGAAAATCGTACATGCGAATTAAAAGCAGAACAGATTTCCAATTTGACTCTCCCTAGTGTGTTGTGCAGGTTTGAAAGTCGTGTACCAATGTTTTTGTCCAGCCAAAAAACTCTTTTGCATATAATTTGTTGTCTTTCTCAGCATGTACGCCACTTCTATGCAATCCAAACTTCCCGACGTGCTCGCGATGCATCTAGGGTCAATGTAGCACAGCACGGATACTGGTGGCGACAATGTCTTGGGACGTACCTCTCAAATTCAAGTGTACCAAACCTTTATGTCCAGCACTGTAAGTGCTGGTTATACGACAAAGTGCACGCTGCATGCATGAAAGACGCTCTGCCCTCTCGAGCTTGGCTTAGGTCCAAGCCACGAAACATTCCGTCGACTATTGTTTCATTCATTTGATGATATCACGCTGTTTGCATGAAAATTGCGCTGTCGTCGGACTTGGCGCTTAGATCAGTTTACTGTTAAGAAAGCGAGACTGGACACAATTGATAAACATCGACAATGTTGTAAGACACAATAGTCATGGCACGTTTCTCCTGGGAGAAGGGGCCAAGCGAAACAGAGATTTCGTGCCGTTTTCGAACGCCCTCAAACTCGCGTATGAGCCTCACATCGGCTTGTCATACGCAGCAGGGAAGGAGTACACGAGAGTGGGGTAGTAGCAGCCCGTGCACCCGTCACTTCGAGGGCGGCTTTGTAGCAGAGGGGGCAACTTTGGGGCATTGAACATGGACATGGGGGCGAGCGTGGGGGACTTGGTCGTCACGAAACCAGACGTATAGTTGAATCAAGTCGCGAGCAATGGAGGTGTGGCTGAACATGCCAGACTTGTTTTGCGAGCAGGCCAATGCTCGCCTGGACAACACAGATCAACTTGGCGTTGTTCCTCTGTTTTCGACCTTCAATGGACCGCCTGAATCACCTTGGCCCGAGTCTATTCTCCCCTTTCCGCTCGAACAAAGTATACTGGCATCGACGGTGTTGCCAGAAATGTTGCCACGACGCGCGCTGGGTGTTGGTGACGCTGTCGACAACGATGTCAAATACATATTGGTTTCAGATCTACGCGACTTAGTTGTACCTACTCGCGCACCATTGTGGGGTGCCAGTAGTCATTTCGTGAATCGAGACTTGGGCTGTAGGGAACCTGGACTTGCATAATTTGACGCCGACATGAAGCGGGACTCGTGAACGCTCGTGGCCCTCGTTTACTGCCACTGCGTTTGCCAAGAAAGAAATCGTTGGGGAGAAGGAAGCATCCGTCGGGCAACATTTGTGTGGGATAGGCCTTCGCCGCACGACCGATGGCCGCACGTTATGTGGGGAACGCTAATTAGCCCCAACGTCGTCCTGGCTGCGACCCATTCCAAAGACATCTCGATTGGGTCACAATTCCTGAATGGGACCTTTGACGCAAGACTGTCAATATGTTGCCCGACAAGTCACGCTCCTCCAGTGCGTGGAGTCGCCGCTTCAAATATACAACTTCACAGCGCACGTCCTTGAACGAAATTCCACAGTACACCGGCCCGAGGCTCGTTCGTCGCGATCCCGGAGGAGTTCCCACATGTGTCTGTGGCTGAGGACGGGGCACGTAATCGTCTGGTGGAGAGCAATCCCCCGAAAAGTTGGCGTCGTAACAGTCACAGTGCACGCAGTGTCTAGAATGCCCACATGTGGAAGCATGAATGCGCTGACGGTAAGGTATGCGAAGACCCGTGCCAAGGTAGCCCCGTGAGGTTGTTGGTGTCGTTGGTGGGGCTACAAATGCGTCGTGCGTGGGAAGTAAGGCGCGTTCAGCCGATTCTTGAGACTTCACTAAGCTGAATGTTATCAACTCATCCGCGCCAAGTTTTTTACCCCCGCCACGACGAACAACCACTTCAACTGTTTCGTTGACCTCAGCACCAGAAACGTTTTGTACCTCGACGAATAGCCCCGATCCATCCCCCCTCTGCGATTGCTGTGGCAGCAACCATGTTACCATCCAACGCCCCCTTAGTCGTCGCCATCGAATTACGATGCTACTACCACACATTGTCGCACTGCTTCCTCACTGGTAACTCCTAGGCTATGTGCGCCACGCAATTTGGTGCGGAAACAATGCTCACACGCTCCAGTGCAAGCGGGAATTCCTGCACTAAATTGTTATAATCCAGACAATGGTCTTTACTTGGCTGCTCTTGTGCATGAGTGCTCTATAAACTTCCAGCTTGGCATATTCATGCGATCTCGCATATTTTATTTCGCCCAAAGCGGTCTTCCTCGAGCGCGCAGCCATGCGAAAGTCTCACTCGACCACAGTTAGCATCGAACCAAAACGATATTCGCAGTGAAACTACCGTTCACGTTCATTTGGACGTCAAGCAGGGGGTGATTTTGATGACCATGGGATGCATCCAACACTGCAAAACCAACAAGTGACGTGCATGCATGAAATGTCCACCCACGCGACCGCAGTTAGAGATGCGGTCGCTGACGCTTTCTATCAAAGACGTCAAGTGTGAGTTTTGTAACATGCACACGCTTGCCATTCGTGTTGTGGTTTTCATTCAAACTTGTCCAGCAGAGCCGATTTCTTCATGGGATGTGCACGTCATGTTCTTGAATACATGTCCAACAAATCGACGATCGTGATTGTTTGTGGGGACCCTATCGATTCCCATTTTGATTTGTTTGAATAACGCATGGCGAAGGACGCGGCCCGACAACTACGATGAAGCTCGTGCCGCTCGCGACTGTGCCGCTGTTTTGCCAACGGACACCCCATCGTCAAGTCAACACGTCACCGTCAGTGGACATGTTGCCTCTCCCCCTTCAGCCGCGGCAATTCCAAAGTGGATAAAGATCACGATTTTAACGGAGAGTCGGCATCGGCGGTGGATTGCGCTTCGTAAAAAGCGGGGGCTTGTGTTGAAATCGTTCACATTGTATCCGTTGAACATCCCACACACAGTGGTTTTGGTCCTGTCGACGTCCATCTTTGGCCAGGCCGACGCCCCAACCAGTGTTGCAAACGGCAACCTATCGAAACCCTCTTGAGACGGACGACGGTTGCGACGTCGCGCGTGGTTGCCGTCGGAATATAAAGCCACGTCTCAACAGAATTGGAACAGTGCAAGTACTAGTCGTGGATAAGCACAAGGCTGCCACGGCGCAAATCGCAACGGCATCAAGTTGGGACTCATCTCCCCTGCATTCGAGTGGCAACACCGGCCCCCAAACACGCAATACCTACACGGTCGTCGCTAGTACATGTCCTAAGATTGCACCGTTATGCAGAGTTACACACCGCTTACCTGTATAAGTCCCACATTCAAGGCCCACTCTCGATCGCGCTGATAAGACATAGCGGATGACACGGAGGGATTTTGTCCAAGCTGCGGCGCCGGTGGGGATATACAAACTGTAGTCATATGTGGCCGCCACCTGATCCACTTCTCCTGGGGGTTCGTGCCGCGGCGGTGACTCACGCGTAAAAAAACCATGCTCTCGATGGTAAAGGAATGCCGCCGCAATCGTACCATTCTTAGCATGGAACCAAGCAAGTGCCCCCACTTGGGCCCCTCCAAGACCAACGATCACGAGTCCCACCAATCTCCTGCCCACTTGCCCTACGTACAATGGTCCAACCTGACCACCCTACCTTGGTTGTTTGCCGACTACGTACCTCCCGTTACAGGCAAAATAGTCGAGGTTACACCCGTTTTGCGATCGCAGCGCGTGCTGCTTCTTCATGTTGCGATAATTTTGAACACGATTGCACCCCCGCTTGTCCATCTTGAGCATTTTGTGTACAAATGTTTGCAACGACCACGCGAGACAAAATGCTGGTCGGCCGGGCATCTGAACCAGGCCAACATGTGGAGCTACGACTCACGAATTGGAAGTACCAGGTCGGACTTGCGGCAAAGTCTCATTGATCAATTTGCCCTTTTGAAGCTTGACGATGTTCTCTGCCTTTAAGTCGATTGCCGCCCTTGCTGTCGTCGCCGCGTCCGTGTCGGCTTACAAGCCGTACCCTGGTTTCGACGAATCTATCTGCGGCGCCGATCAATCCAAGCCCGGTATGTGCATCAAGGACACGAAGTCGGACATGTACAAGCTCGGCAAGCCGATCGCACGCTTGGCGTTGGCTGACAACTACTACTGCACGGGCTGGTTGTTTGGGTCGGAAGGGCACATGTTGACCAACAACCATTGCATTGATACGGAAGCTAGCGCCAAGGCTGTCAGGGTCGAGTTCGATGCCGAATGCAAGACGTGCGAAGACCCGAACAACGACAAACAGTTGGGATGCCCCGGTGTGATCGGCGCCAACAGCACCACGTTGGTGTACACCGACATGGCCCTCGATTTTACATTGATCAAGCTCGACTTGGTTTCTGGATTCGACTTGGACGACTACGGGTACCTCCAGGCCCGCGCCACTCCCGCCAAGCTTGACGAAGAGATCTTCATCATCGGACACCCCAACCTCAAGCCCAAGCGTTTCTCGTGGGTGAACGACGACGGCAAGCCGGCCAAGATCGTCAACGCATCGACCCCTTCGCTCTGCGACGAACCCGACACGTACGGGTACAACGTCGACACGCAAGGTGGTTCGTCGGGCTCGCCCGTCTTCAGCACCCACGACAACAAGGTAGTCGCGTTGCACAACTGTGGCGGGTGCACGGCCACGGACGGCCAAAACACCGGCAACAAGATGCACTTGATTGTTGATGCCTTGAAAGCCAAGAACTTGTTGCCCAAGGATGCAGTGGCTGGCGGTAGCTGCTGAGCGCTCGTCGAAATACTCCGCTTTACATGTATAAGTCGATAATTGATGGCTTGTCTGTCCCTCCATTCAAGTCTAATGGGCAGGTCCCAGCGCTCATTGCTCACACACTGGAAAGGGACTGTTCTACTTGGTCTCAGTTGCCACGACAATTTGAACACGTACTTCAGCCTTGTCCCTAGAAAATCAATTTCACATGCTAACGTGAACATGACGTGGCCAGTGTGGAAGCACGGGATCTCAACAACCAGTCACGGATTTCGTACTATGGCGTCACGGCAGTTTGTCCGCCTGGGCATTGCGATGGATGACCACTGGAACGTTGGCCTGCAAAGTTCCAGATCAACTGGAACACGATGGGGTTCGTGAACATGCCGAACCCAAGGAAGAGGAGCAATTGGATGATGGTCGCTCTGCCCTCCACGCTACTTTGTGAACGAACACGCCATCAAACCATCGAGAACGTGGGTAGCGTCAAAGCCACCGACAAAGCCTGCACTCTGACGTTGTTCGTTGCTGGGGCACTGTTTCAAAATGGGGTCATTTCTACCTCAAACGCTGTGCAAAATCGACAAAGAACCTTCCAAGTGTTATCAAACTAATCTTCATTTTTGTCGTCACAATTCACTGTCAAACTGGGAGGGCTACGCTGCTAAGCATTTCAAGGGCCGCAGACGGGACCTCTTTTGATCGGAATTACACATTTCGGGTTCGTAGGTTGAGAAGTGTAGATGTCATATCGACGTGTCGAAGGACAGAGTCGATTGGAAAAGTGCATTTCGAGCCCAAGGTAATACAGAATGGGAAGAAAAGTGTATTGTTGCCGTCAAAGCGGGCGTGGCGTTTGCTGTACTGCGCTGTACCAGATTTGACAAGGTCTCGATGGGCTATAAACTAAAGTACCTGGAGCGGAAAGTGCAAAAGTCGCCATCGGTACAGCCTCAAAAGATTGTGTATCCACAAAGTTATGCTCGATTGTTGAGCAGAATAGACAGCTTGGCCGAGCGGTTAAGGCGATAGACTCGAAATCTATTGGGGAAACCCTCGTGAGTTCAAATCTCACAGCTGTCGATATTTCTTTTGTCCATTCATTGGCTGTTCGTGCCTGTGGGGTTGAAGTGTGCAAAAAGCTTGGGAGGTTTGAATTGTCCAGTCGAATGCCGACACTAGAGAGATTCTGAAACCATTCCACAGGCGCATCCACAGCGGCGCCCTGACATATGGTGCCAAAACCGGAGTCAACTTGTCAAAATTTGTTGTGGACACTGTCAAAATTGATTGTCGATCCGCACAATCGGCGAATTATGCGGAACTATTTCCACATCCACATAATTCAATTGAGGCACGAATGGCGAAGCGCCGGAACTTCACCGAAGAAGAAGACGTAATGCTGCTCCGCCAAGTCTCGGAGAAGTGCCTTTCCTCGCCAAGCGTGGTGTCGTCATGGAACAGTGGGCCAGTGTTGCGGAGACACTGGCTAATTCGGACGAATTTGGACGGCCCGACTTTGATGCGAAGAAGGCGTCGAACCGCTTCGGATCGCTTGTCGAAGCCCACAGAAAACGCAACAACGACTCCGAGCGTGCCTCTGGCGTGTCAGAGGACGAGTCTGAAAAGACTCGTCTTTTGGACGATCTTGTTGCAGCATACGACGACGCGAAGGAGGAAGAAG